CACCTACGTCCTTGTCTTTTAATCTTTTAGTTCAGGAGTTCTTCGCGAAGATCCACAAGGCGTGCGATACTTCTTTCCGAGTCTATCTTAGAGGTACTACTCTTAGGCTCTCTCCTGATGTTTTGGCTGCGTCTTTCCATATTCCTCGGGTTTTTCACCCAATTTTTCCTATCTTTCGGCTGAGACCAGCCCTTCTGACTCAGTAGTTTACTCTACTCTTTTTTATACTCCACGGCAGGGGGTTCGACTGCGGTTCGTACTGGATCGCTTCCAACCGAGCGACAGGTTTTGTTGTGCATTGTGTACACGAACCTGTGGCCTGTCGCACACACTTCTTCTTTACCTTCTGATAGGGCTATATTTCTTTATGCTCTGATTCATGGTGACTCAATTGATCTTCCTACTTTATTGTGCCAACTTATTCTTTGCACTTTCCGAGTCCCTGGTCGTAGGATAGGTCTTCCTTATGCCTGTCTTATTCATCGATTAGTCACTGCCTTTGGCGTTGTCTTTCCTGAGGGTCCTTCTTGTGGGTTAGGTCGACCGATTGGTCTTGTTAACGTTTCGCAGAGTCGATCTCATGCTTCTTCTTCTTCTGCTCCTATTGAGCCTACTGATCTAGTAGTGCCAGCAGATAATTTCTGTTGATCCGCCCTCCATTCCATCATCTGCGGCTCCATCCACTCCTGGCGTCCCACCTTCTACGTCTTCTTCTGTCCCTCCTGCGTCTTCTGCCGTTGATCCCATGGTCGCCTTGATGACCCAGATGTCTACTGTGATTAGCCCGCAGGCTCGGCTGCTTGCAGAGGTGACTTAGACGAGGGCAGAGGTCACTGCACTGCGTGGCGAGGTTATAGATGTTCAGCGACGATTGCGCTGTATGGGAGAGCACTGGGAGTATGAGAGTGATGAGACTGATGATTCAGATGGAGATGATGCTCTTGCCTCGTAGATAGGGATACTGATGTAGTTGATATTGATATATGTGTTGATAATGGTTAGGCTGATTCTTGTTATCGTATAAACTTTTTGTAGCCCTTCTTCAGTTATTAAAATTTTTTTTATTTCCATTTGTTGTGTGCTTTTACTCCATTTCTTCGGCATTTGTGACAAAAAGGGGGAGAATTTATAGTAAGGGAATTTTCATAGTAAGGGGGCGATATATACGCATTTCATGTCTAGAGTACATATTGATACTTATCATAGTAAGGGGGAGATATATACACATTTCATGTCTGGAGCAGCTTGTTACATATTGATACTTATCAT